AAAGGACGCGGAGAATGTTTCCTCATTTATGAGTTTGTTCCCAATGGTAATCTTTTGCAGTATCTTGATGTGAAGGATGAGACTGGCGAGGTTCTTGAATGGACTACTCGAGTTTCCATCATAAATGGAATAGCCAGAGGTTAGATTCTGCGATTTGTTCTTTCGCAAACTAAACTCAGGATTTTTTATATGTGAAATCTGATGTCTTTTTAATCATCCTTTCAGGGATTGTATACTTACATGGAGAAAATGGGAACAAGCCTGCAATAGTTCACCAGAATCTATCTGCAGAGAAGGTTCTCATCGATCATTGGTTTAATCCTTCTCTTGCGGATTCCGGTCTTCACAAGCTTTTCACAGATGACATCGTTTTCTCCAAGCTTAAAGCAAGTGCTGCAATGGGATACTTAGCTCCTGAGTACATAACTACAGGAAGGTTCACTGATAAGAGTGATGTCTACGCTTTTGGTATGATTCTGTTGCAGATACTCAGTGGTAAAAGCAAAATCAGCCATTTGATGATCTTGCAAGCTGTAGAATCAGGAAGACTGAATGAAGATTTCATGGATCCAAATCTTCGAAAGAATTTTCCAGAAGCAGAAGCGGCTCAGCTCGCTAGACTTGGTCTTCTCTGCACTCATGAATCCTCAAACCAAAGACCATCCATGGAAGATGTTATGCAAGAACTGAATAAACTCGCGGCAAATTATTAGTTTCCCGTTTAACAAGATTCTTGCTTTTGATTTTCCAAGAATTGGCACACCATGGTTTCAGACTATCACCGGTCCCCTGATGTTAACTCTGTTTTAGGTTCAGTATAGGGGATCCGAAAAACCGGTTCATGATGTAACAATCTTATTTCCTTGTAACTGTGTAGCTGATGTACTTAGGCTGTAAAAACAAGCACTTTTCAGACGTTTTAGGTGATCTTGTGGGAAGTCTTTTTTTCAGACATATCTTAGCTGAACAAAACCAACCAACCAACATGCGGAATTGCGGATATGTTGTGATAGTCTTCATGTATGACAATGGCAAGGAATTTTCAGAATAAGTTTAATCCCTCGAAAATATATAGCTGCACAATCGTTCATCTACAATGTATTGGAAACTTCAATGCTATCTACAAAGAACTCATGGACTCTTCCATCAAGCTCAATCCAACTACATCCAGGAACTTTCTCTATCTTTCTTTCCTTCATCATCGTTCTAACTCTACGCACATCCTTCCACTTTCCAAAACTAGCATACATGTTAGAGAGGAGCACATATGAGCTCGGGTTATAGCCAGCCTGCAAAATAAGGTGTTTTCCGACAAGCTCTCCCGTTTCAAACTCCTTGTGGTGATTACAAGCTGTGAGAAACGTTCTCCATATGACATCATTTGGCTCAATTGGCATTTCCTGTATTAAGTTTTTTGCTAGCTCTATACTTCCGGATCTCGACAGTATGTCAACCATACACCCATAGTGTTGCAGTCTTGGTTCTATCTTGTGTTTTCTCCTCATGAGCTCAAAGCAAAGAAGGCCTTCCTTCACTAATCCAGAGTGGCTGCAAGCATTTAATACCCCAACAAAGGTGATATCGTCGGGTTTTATGGAGCGTCTCTCGATCTGCAAGAGCATATCAAATGCGGATTCCCCAAGACCATGAATAGCTAGCCCACCAATCATGGCATTCCAGTGATCAATGCTTTTGTTTTCGATTCCCTCGAAAACTAACATGGCATGTTGTATGCTTCCGCATTTCGAATACATATCAATGAGAGCAACGCCTAGTTTTCCACCTAAAAAGAATTGTTTCTCCACAATGTACAAATGCATATCCATGGCTTTGGATAATCGGCCAAGTTGAGCAATAGCAGAGAGAACTATTACCAAAGTCGTTTCATCGGGTGACAAGTGACTCTCCTTTTCCATGTGGCTAAATATTTCAAGAGCTTCCATGTGATACTTGTTTTGAACATAACCAGCCATCATAGAGTTATATGACACAACATCTCTATGAGGCATTTGGTCGAACAGAGTCTTAGCCTGATGAACAAAACCTAACTTTGCATACCCATCAATCATGGTAGCCCAAGTAACTACATCTCTGCTCGGCATCACATCGAATAATTCTTTAGCATCCTCAATTCTTCCGTGTTTTACATATCCATCGATCATTGAATTCCACGAAATCAAGTCCTTCTCGGGCATTTCAGCAAACAGTTTTGACGCTATGTCAAAACCGTTTGATGCCTGAGCATATCCACTTATGATAGAGTTCCAAGAGATCAAATTCTTCACTTCCCTTGGCATCAAATCGAACAATTCACGCGCGGATTCGATCGATCCACATTTGACATAACCGTCAATCATTGAGTTAAAAGAAACGGAGTCTCTCTGCGGCATTCTATCAAATATCTGGCGGGCAAAACCTAAACAACCACATTTCAAATACAAGCCAATCAGACAGTTGTGTAGAAACAAATCCGACCAAAGTCCAGTCTTTCTCAAAAACCCATGAATCTGCAGTCCTCCCTTTACAAAGCCTAACCTCGAACACGCTTTCAGAACAAGGGACATGGAGAATTCGTCCACGGAAACACCATTCTCGAGCATCAAACAGAACAAAAGCAGAGCTTGTTTTGGATCTTTTCCATGAGAGTGAGACTTGATCACAGCGTTCCATAAAAAGGGATCCTTCACCTCACCTCCGGGTGAAGATGCACATACGTGATACTCGCGGAAGACTAAACGCGCGAATTCGGCGAGAAACGGGCGTGGAGAAGCGGCAAAAGCGAGAACGATCCTCGTACTGAGATTAGAGTTTTTGATGAGTCCCGTCGTAATCAATCGCGCGTGGATTTTGCTCACATCTTCCGAAGTTTTGCATCGTCCAAGGAGTTGAATGGTGGGTGAAATCGAACACTCCATGGTTATGAGAGTGCCCGAAGACAAGCGCCTCAGTTACGTTCTTCTTCTGTTGGAGATAAACCGGATTGGGTTTATCATCATCGTTTTAACGGCACTGAAGAGGATGGCTTAAACAACGTCGTTTTAAACGTTTGCTCACTAAGGGCTTTTAAATTAAGGCCCAATAATAAATATTATTAGCCCAATATCAATACCTGTCCAAACTATGAAGTAGTGAAACTGAAATAACTTACGTTCCTTCTTAGGCTAAAGTTGTTGTTTGGACAAAAAAAATACAAGTAAAATACGATTCTGAAAGTATTAAACAGGCAACTAAAACGATAACAACTAACAAGTGACAAGACATTACCACGAATTCGAAAACAAACAACTACCGTTCATAGTTTTACCAATTGGTTGTAAATTATTTATATCTTGCAGATTTTTATGACTGGAAAACTCTCTATATTTAAATATTTATTTATTTTGACGGTTATAAAATTCATAGAAAAAGGTTCATATTTTAACATTTTTGACTCTGCAGTTTCCGTCATTAGAGATTGATCATCGAACCAAACAGCGGTGAAATATATATTTAAGTGATACTAATGGAGACATAAGCTTAAACAAAGATAGAATTTAGTCAGACTAACGTTCGAATTTAGGCATATTCTTCTACACAAAATACAAACTTAGATCTTAAATTATATAAGCTGGTTATATTTATGCCCACCAACACATCTCGATGAGATAGTATATGTATAGAAAATAGAAAACTGGTAGTATGATAATGATAATATGATATTGATAAGCAAGTAGTTGATGATAAGCATTGACTTCCTTCATAAGTCATAGTCAGGATGGAGTGGTACGATATATCGTACATATATATATGATAATATCTCCTTATCGAATTGGTTTTATTTATATCATTTGAATATGATTTCAATTCCTTTTTAATGCATAGTTGCTATTTTAATATTGTGCGTCTTTAATATAAAACGAAAGTGCTAATTTGTCGTTTACTCAACTGTTTATCTAATTACAATCGTTCAACTTGAGAACTTTATAAGCTAGATATATATTTGGTTGTTCCTTCCTACTATTTCAGCAGCCATGGTACAGGCATGTCTCGACCAACATTGTATACTATATATATATATATAGGCGTGATGTTATTAGATTTAAGTTATTATAAGGGCAATATATACTACTAATGGGTTGTTAATTAACTTTCACGCATGTTCGGCTGCACAACACATTCACAAGTACGGAAGTACCACTTCTTCTTCTTTTTTTGACACCGGCACAAGTACCACTCATCGTATATATGCAGTTCGAACAATTTTATAGCCTAATCTTATGTTTTGATATATTGCGGATTTAAAATAAATTTCTAAAAGGCATGCTAGTAATGTTGTACTTTTGTTGATTCATATTGCTTTTTGGACCTAATCAAGACCAAGAAAATTTTTTCTCTATATATATCTTTGTCGCATATGGGTTAGCTTATATGATACGTGCAGAATAAACCAAAATAGGCGGCGATAAATTATGTTTATATCCTAATAAAAACCTTTTGATTACAGATTCGTTGGTTGGCACTATGAAAGCGAGTGTCAAAGAAAAAAGATTTATAATCGTCATTAAGCTGAAATAACAAAGGCTAAAATCAAAAGATTGAAAACTTAGAAAAGAACAAAAAGAGATAGAAAAAAAAAAAAAATCAAAGATAGTAGCTGACCATCTCATGTAATTATTCAAGTTGTCTCACCTAAGTCCACAATATCAGCAATCAAAATTTATCCTTTCATCCACAACACGTATTTGTTCAGACTCTACCCTTTTGACGATAATGAAATTAAGTATCAAAACAAAAACATTAATTCAACTAGCTAGTATTATATATAACAAAACCAGTGAATATATATCAAGATCTTGGTTTACATAAGTTGTCAGAAGAGTGGGCTAACGCCTAACGTAAATCGACGACATAAATTCTCGATTTTTGCATAGAAGAGAGAATAAAAATAAAAATTGAGTTATTTGATTGACGAAATAACCAGTAACATGATTTTAATTATAAAAATATAAAAAAAGGATGAATAAGGAGTAATAATAAATGGGAGCAATGAGACAAATTGACACGTTGTTTATAAGTGTAAGCAAATTGTCAACGCTTCGTTTGTCCATTTATAAAAAACCTAACCACCACTTCGTCTTCCTTCCTAAATCATTCATCAAACTCCATTTCACTTTCACTATGAAGCTTGTCTGGTCGCCAGAAACTGCTTCTGACGCATACATCGACACCGTCAAATCGGTATGTTATCTTTTCTGTTTATACAAATCATAAGCTTAGTTATATTATATGGTTTTTGTCTTTATTTAATTTTGCATGTGTATTCTATAGTGTAAGAGCTACAAGGAATCAGGAGTGGCGGAGTTTTTATCTGCTACGGCGGCTGGATGGAACGCGAGACTAATCGTTGAGACATGGTCACGCGGCGATCCTATCTCCACTAGCGTTGGACTCGCGGTTGCTGCGACTCACACGTGCGGAAGACACGTTTGTATAGTTCCTGACGAGCAATCTAAACTTGAGTACGTCTTGGCTATGAGAGGAGCTGTTACGACGGATGTCACGGAGGTTTTGGTGGCAGGAGAATCAGTGGAAAACGCGGTGGAGGAGTTTCCCGGCGTTGATTTCATGGTTGTGGACTCGAAGCGGCGAGAGTTCGTCAGAACGCTGAGGTTTGCGAAGCTAAGCAGCAAAGGTGCCGTTTTGGTGTGTAAAAACGCCACGCAGAGAGCGATCTCTGGGTTTAAATGGCACGATGTGTTGAAAGGAGGGACACGTGTGGTGAGATCCGTGTTTTTGCCGGTTGGTCGAGGCTTGGATATCGCACACGTGGGTGCTACTGGTGGCCACCAGCGTGGTGACTCGAGGAAGATTCCTAGTCGTTGGATCAGACACGTGGATCATCAGTCTGGAGAAGAGCATTTGTTCAGACGCTAGTTTTCGAAATTTCCTCTTTTATCCTTTTGCTGCACTTCATTTTGTAGAGTCATAAATGCTGTACATACGTTACAAAACTTGAAGAATAATTTTCCATAATCAATAGTCTAATATCATCCACGAATGTAAAATATTAAATTATCCACATTACAACTTCACAAAAAACATCGACAACATTATTCGATTATACATAGAGATTGATACATGGTTCTCTGATGATTCTATCATTCAATGTTGATTCGAACAACCTTCTTAGCTCCTGGTGCCGAGGTGCTTGCACTGGTCCGAGTTTGGTCTGTTCGGCGGCGAGTTCGGTCCAGAGATGGGAGTAGCCATCCTCCAAAACTTTGATCAAAGCCTGTAAATATAGTCGTATAGTACAGAGAACAAAAACAGTTTCAGTAAAAATTCCGATACGAAGATTAGTTCTGAGATTAAGAGTTTGCTAACCACTGGATTCATGCTTGGTAAGAGATGAATTGCCTTTCCATGCTTCCTCAAAGCCACTAAGTTCTTCTGAAACAAGAAACAAAGAAACTTCTTTAGCTGCTTGCAATTTTCCTTCAAAGACCTGAACTTACTGATTAGACTGTGTAAGATTCTGCAGACCTTCTTCGAGGTTGTGAAGAGTCTGTGTCGACTCAACGCCACCACTCGAGGTTAGCTTCCTAGTAACCGAATGACCCTGAATACCCCAAACCAACATACTCAAGACACATAAAAAAATCTAGCCACGGTGGAAGTGGAACCAAGAAGTGCTATAGCAAAATATCATCAGTGTGGTCAATCACCTTATCATTGATCCCTCTGGAGATCCTATGAGTGGCTTCACCTGTAGTCTTATCGGCTTCTTTGCTTTCCTCAACCACCATCTAGAAACAGAATCCAATTAGTACGTGTCCAGTAAAACTTCCATTAAAACGAAAGATTGAAAAAAGAGAAACAAACTTACTCCATCACTGCCTTTTCTTCTGGTTCTAGTAGATGTATAGTAAGCGCCATCTATCCCACCATATGTAACCTTAGAGGTGTGATGTCTGAATGTGTTAACTCGAGACTGCGTACCCTCTCTTCGATTGAAATCACTCCTTTGATTCATATTCTGAATCTTCCTCTCAGCTACAACAACCACATAAGCCATAGTTAAATACAACGAGTAAACAAAGCTGGTCTAATCACTATTGTGTATTTGTAATTACCATCAGAATCATCTTCAGGGTGCTCAACAGATGGTTGATTCACTGAACTGGTATGCTCTTCTTCATCACTCCTAAAACCTTTTCTTTCTTCTACTTCTTCATCAGATGGTAATTCTTCAATTGTTAACCCTCCTCTTCCACCATTGCTCTTATGTGCATTACTGAAAGAAGCACCTGAGCTAAAACTGATGGGTGGTTCGAGCAAATCCTCAAATGGTCGAGAGAAGAAAGGATCATCAAAAGGATCTCTTCCTCCAAAGAAACTACCTCTAAATCCACCAAAATTTCCAAACCTACCACCAAATGGATCTCCCATTTTTCCTTTTTAATTATGCAATCCTTTGGTATAAGAAAACAAGTTAGGGACTAAACATTATCTCAAAAACTCTTCTCTGTTACTGTGCAATACTTTGGTATAAATAAAAAAAACAAGTTCAAAACTATACATATGATCTCAAAAACTCTTCTCTGTACCCATCAAAATTTCAATGAACAACCTAAACTGAATACAAACTTCACTAAAATATCTAACAGAGCATACAAGCTATAGTTCTATACGACAATCTAAGAGTTCGAGGACAAGGACATCAGAAAAGAGAGTACCTTGTAAAGAATTTGAGAACTTGCGAGAGAATCCGAGAAGAGCCTAGACAGAGTAGTTGCCTTTATCTCACTCTGTTTTTTTTTTCTTTTCTTTATATAAACCACTATTTTAATATTTAACAGAAAAGAATGTTTGAGATTAAGACACGTGTCGTTACACCATAACCTAGAAGCTTCTTCATCGTTCTTCATCCTTTATATAAAATTTATTTTATTTCACCATTCCCAAATATCTAATTGGCAACCATTAAAATTTAAAACTAAAGGTTTAATCGAAAAGGAATATAGACTATTCAACTTGAGACTGGCTCTAGCTCTACATCTATCTTAACATTTTTGAAGTACATTTTGCTCAAAAATCTATTTTTACATTAAACTGCCCAAAAAACCAATGTCTAATCTCTTATCTAACAATATTCATTAAGGATACGTATGTCTTTTAATTCTTGAGTCGGGTTATGTGTCCCTCTCGGGTCAAAATTAAATTGTTATGACACTATCAATTATCCGTTTAACTATGGGCCTCTCATAAAATCGAGTACTAATTTTGTTGGGCTGACAATCAGATTTTAGGCCTTAAATACAAACATATTTATTACACTCTTCTTCTCCACGTCAAAACTAATAAACGAAATAAATGCAAAACTTTACATAATCTCACAATAATATTCAATCGAAATCTTTGGCCTTAAATACAAACATTTATTACACTCTTCCTTCTCCACGTCTAAATTAATAAACGAAATATATTCAAAACTTAACATAAATTAACAAAATTTATAATCGTATATATTCACATTCAATAACGACATCCATATCTTCATAGCGAATCAATCAAACAATCCAGAAATATTTTCAATCACGTATTATTCCTCAAATTTAGGCCTATATTAACTCATATGGTAAGACAGATTTATTATTAAACGCATTTATAATGAATATAATTTTATACATACCAAAATCATCTAATCTTGCCAATCAAGCTAAATCACATACGTATCATACGACTCTTTATACCATCTCACACAATATATATATATCTAGCTATCACCATCACAGAAATTCATCGCAACACATACACCTATAGCATACAAACCTAAAAAGTCATTACTATTTCTAATAATATGTCTGCTTCATTTGCATACTTAAGAGA